AAAAAAAAAAAAAAAAAAAAACTGTTTATATATTTACAATAGCCAGGACATGGAAGCAACCTAAGTGTCCATCGACAGATGAATAGGTAAGGAAGATGTGGCACATATATACAATGGAATATTACTCAGCCATAAAAAGAAATGAAATTGAGTCATTTGTAGTGAGGTGGATGGACCTAGAGTCTGTCATACAGAGTGAAGTAAGTCAGAAAGAGACAAACAAATACCATATGCTAACACATATATATGGAATTTAAAAAAAAAAAGGTCATAAAGAAACTTTTCTTCAAGGTTCTTGAAGAAAAGACGGGAATAAAGACGCAGACCTACTAGAGTATGGACTTGAGGACACGGGGAGGGGGAAGGGTAAGCAGGGACAAAGTGAGAGAGTGGCATGCACTTATATACACTACCAAATGTAAAATAGCTACTGGGAAGCAGCCGCATAGCACAGGGAGATAAGCTCGTGCTTTGTGACCACCTAGAGGGGTGGGATAGGGAGGGTGGGAGGAAGGGAGGCGCAAGAGGAAAGAGATATGGGGATATATGTATATGTATAGCTGATTCACTTTGTTATAAAGCAGAAACTAACACACCATTGTAAAGCAATTATACTCCAATAAAGATGTTTAAAAAAGCCCCCAAAACTCTTTATATACATGCTATATCACTGACCCTCAAAACAACCATCTGAGGTAGGTACTTCTGTCCTTGCCCAAAGTCACATGGTGAGTCAACAGCAGACCCGGGTCTCCTCCCTTCAAAGCCCAGTCCACTGTTCCACAAAATCCCCCAGGTCTTAACCTCCTTTCTCACTTTCCTGGAAAAAAAAAAATCCAGTTAGACCAGATACTATAGGACCCTTGGCCAATTCCTTCTTTCCCCATGAGGCCCAGGCATCAGGAGTGGAGTTGGGGGGAACAGTAGACACATCAGTTTTCATTGTGGATACCTGGTCAGTGTCAAACGCGTGACAGATTAGCAGATCTGAGATCAGAGGTAAGGCTGAGACCAGATGTGAAAGGAGAGGGTGTTTTTTTTTTTAAAATGAAAGGTTCTGAGAACTGGCAGGACACCTCCAAAGAGGAAATGAAAAGGTCAGGATAACAGAAACCAGAACCCCTCGGGGACTGGATGTGGGGGACTACATTGGATCTCACAGAGGGGACATCTGGAAAGGTATTTCTTGAGTCTGGGAGCAGACAGATTTGAGGGAAGGGAGCGTGGCTGCCATGAAGGATGAGGCGTTTAACCTCTCCGGCTCAGATGAACAGCAGTCTCCCCCTTTTCTACTGAGAAGAGCTGGGATTCTGGTCTCAGAGTCCTACTGGGTACAAAAGCCAGCTCACTCTCTCAAAGCCTGTTTTCTGAACTGTACAACGGGAATTCAAGTCTCTACAAGGTTATCAGGAGGAATAAGTAAGTGCTTACTTAGAGCAATGGCTGGTACACAATTAGCTGTAAAAGAAATGGCAGTGGGCAGCAGTGGATCTCGGTCTGTTTTGACCATTGGTGTCATGATTGGTTGAGAGGTGGTTCCTGTGTCGTTTGTTGGTAATAATAGTTGAAGTGCCAAAGTTCTAAAATTATTTACAGCAGAGTCATAGCATACACTCATGTAACCTAATGCAACGTCAACTATATGCATGGAGAAAAAAAGGCTGAGAGTTAACTGGGCAGGACACGTTGATGAGCATCCAAGCCCGAGAAAGCATGGGGAGGGTCTATTGAGCCTCTAGTTTTCAGCCCTTCACGCCCATCAGACCGCAGGCCATCGACAAGGGTTTTGCTTGACACCATATGCTTTTAAAAGTTAGACTAAACAAGCCCTTCTTTCTGTCACTCAGATGCATTTGCACTCAAATAGTAGAAGAAGTGGAGTTTCAATGCCAGATACAGCCAAGGGCATGCCAAGCATGATGCTGTGGACTCATGGTTGGGAAAGCTGATCTGAGAGGCAGGATTGGCCTCAATCTCCATCTCCTCATGTTCTCCTGTGTACTCAACTCTCACTCAGCTCTGGAGGAAGAAATACTAAAGAGAGCCCCATTGGCAACCCACTACCTTCTGTCAAAACGTCATGCCTTGAGTAGGGCAACCTTCACTTAAACACTCGCCATTTGTCTCACACAAGTGCCTGGCCCAGGACTCAGACCAACCTGAGGTGGGGTCCAGGCAGCACCACTTACCGTGTGATCTTAGGTCAGGCCATTTGGCCTCTCTGAATCTCTCCGCTAATTAATACCAGGTAATAGCCAGAGGCTGAGAATACAAAAACAAGCCACAAGTATGAATGTTCAGTCAAGTAGGGTTGTTTCAGGGATCTGTGCAGCTCAAGGATTAAAACTAAGGTCTCATCCTAGTGTTCAAGGGCTTTCGCTTTCCTGTCTCCCAGGCCACCTTTCTAGCCCTCTACCTCATAGCTCCCCCTATATTAAGCTCCCTGCCCCCTAACTCATTCCTGCTTAAGTTGTTCTGCTGCCCAAAATGCTCTTGCCTTCAATTCCTATTAAAAATCTTTAGTTCTTTCAAAATCCATTTCAAGGGACTTCCCTTGTGGTCCAGTGGTAAAGAATCCGCCTTCCAATGCAGGGGATGCAGGTTCAATCCCTGATCGGGAAACTAAGATCCCACATGCCACGGGGCAACTAAGCCCACGCGCTGCAACTACTGAGCTTGTGTGCCTCAACTAGAGAGCCCGCATGCTGCAAACATCAGAGCCCATGCGCTCTGGATGCGCCACAGCTAGATAGAGAAAACCTGCGTACTACAACTGGAGAGAAGCCCGAGCGATGCAACTGGAGAGAAGCCCACGTGCTGCAATGAAAGATCCCAAATGCTGCAAGTAAGACCTGACGCAGCCAAAAACATAAAAAGAAAATAATAAGATATTAAAAAACAAAACAACAAAATCCAATTCAAGCATCACCTTTTCCCTCCTGCCTTTCAGTGCTGCCAGGCACTGAACTCTAAAGCTGAGCAGAGAAAGGGAAGTGCCAAGAGATGGCAAATCTGTTTGTATGCCTGCCTTCTCCTTCTAGCTTGAGATTCCCAGCAGGCTGGGGTTAGGTCTCAAACATCCCAGCATCCCCATCAGGCCTTCCATGAGTGGAGGACCCTTAGAATAGTCCCTAGTTACCCTTCCCAGGCAGGTTCTTGTTTTTCTCTGACTTCCAAGACCAGAACAGGGGTTCAGTAAATGACAATTTAGGCAAATAGAGCACCCCATTTCCCACCCACCTTCCTGTGATTTGAATCATGATGAGGCCAGTTGTAACTGTGGACTTTAGGAAAGACGCTTAACTTCTGTAAGTCTCCATTCTCATCCATAAGATTAGGATAATAGTATTACTAAGCTTGTTGCGAGAATAATGAAACTACAAAGCACCTAGCACTCAGGAGGTACTCAATAAACAACAGTCCCCCCAGGAGCAATGGATCAAGCCCAAGTGGAAATGGGGAGAAAACAATATTATAAATTGGAACAGAAAAAAATAAGGTAGAGGAAATAAATACAAACAGAGATTACAATAAATATAAATAGGTTAATCTCACTTATTAAATGATGCTTAGGTTGGGTAAAAAACAGGCTGTTTACAAAAGACACACCTGAAGACACAAGAGTTCTCTCTTCATTTTACACAGTCTTCCAAGCCCAAGGGTGTGCCTGCAGCCCGTCACCCCACACTGCAACACAGCAGACTATTACAGCACATCAGACTATTACCCCTTGGCTTACACCCTACATTGTTGGCAGTGGATTATCTATAAAATAAAGGCTCAAAATTCTTTTAGGCACCAAAATTTTTATTAACCCACCTTCTTGCTCTCTTTTAACATTATGAACCAAATTAATCTCTTTTTGACCCAGAGTTGTGAAGAGAACATCAAGTTACAATGCACTTTTACGTTTCTCTGGCCCCTCTCAACCTCTGGCTGTCACTTCTCTCGTCCTTTCTTGGCTATCCCTTAACAATATATTCCAACCCCTGTAAAATAGGGACTAAAAGTACCAACCTCATCGTTCTGAGGTTTAAGAGAATGCCAAGCACTAAGCCGGGCTCTCAGGAGCATTCAAATTCCAACAGTTCCTCCACACCCTTTGACAGAGCTCCTTCTCATCTGTCATGGGCTGAGGAACCAATGAACCTATAAACCAAGAACATGGGTATAAAAAGTCCATAGGCCAAGTGAGGGCCTGGATGGTAAAGTGCATGGGCTTTGTGAACACCACTGCCAACAGCCTAAGGAAGGACTGACTGAGTGAGCAGTTCCAGAACCCCTGAGCTCATGGCTCCCTGTGGGTAACTCCCGTGTACCTCGATCATGACCAGGGCTTGAGGAGGGACTTCTCAATTCCCCCTGCCACACTTGGAACAGTATGAGGGATGCAGCAGAGGCCAAAGACTGAGTGACTAGCCCCAGGGAGTTGATGGGGAACATTATCAAACCAATCTCAAAGGTGGTGCCATTTGCTCTTGGGGAGGAGAGGTGGGACCCAGGCAAGGACAGCAGCTGGAAGGCAAAGGGCGGGCCTGGTTCTCAATAGCGGTAGTGATCAGGTTTAAAGGGGCCATCGCAGGACATGCCCAAGTACTGGGCCTGCTTCTCAGTCAGCTTGGTCAGCTTCACATTCAGCTTGCCCAGGTGGGCTTCAGCGACTGCTTCATCCAGCTGGGGAGAAACACAGAAAAAGCTGGAATCAGTGCCATGATCTGGGATCCCTTACCTGCATCTAGCTGCCAAAAGAGGCAGGAACTGTTCTGTTGTGACATCTGCGGAGTGTTAAGCATATTACTTCATCCTATCCTCACAGCCAGCCTCCAGTGTGGCTTTTGGCTACTCAGCTCCCCTTCTTCAAGGGGGAACCAAGCTACATCCTCCCCTCCAAGCAGCCCTAATGGGACAATCAATTACATCTCCTTCCTTACCCTCCACCAACCTAAGCAGCTAACCAAAATGCTTCTCTGGAATTTATCTATGGACAGGACATATTTTCATGACAGGGGCTTTCAGGATTCCTAAACAGGGAGGCTATCAGTCTCTGCTCACCAGGGGCAAGTCTATTTGACAAATGAAGTGAATGTAGGGGGAAAAAAGAGCCAAGAGACAGAGAAAGAGCTCTGATGCCACTGATCCCTGGATCCAGTGTCTGAATCTTAGACGCCTCCATTACAGAACCAATAGAGTTCCTTTTTAGATTACACTGGTTGTATTTGTTTCAAAATACATCCTTAGCACTGGTGGTATAGGGTGAGCATAGCTGCCTTCCAAAATATGTCCTTAAAATCTTTGTCTATAAATTCATAAAACTCCTTCCTTCAAGAGGTGGAGCCTAAAAAAAAAAAAAAAAGAGGTGGAGCCTAATTCCTCACCCCTTGAGTGACTCAATTCTAATGAATAGAATAAAGCAGAAGTGATGGTGTGTGACTTGGAGACTGGGTCCTAAAAGGCACTTCAGCTTCCTCCTTTGCTCTCCCCCTGAATCTGGGGGAGGCCAGCTGCCATCTCATGAGGAAACTTAAGCAGCCCTATGGAGATACTCATGTGGCAAGGAACCACCTGCCAACAGTGATGTGAAGCGGATCTTCCAGCTCCAGTCAAGCCTTCAGATGACTGCAGCCCCAGCTGACATCTCGACTACAACCTCATGAATTAAGCTGCTCTCAAACTCTCAACCCACAGAAACTGAAATAATAAATGTTTATTGTTTTAAGCCAGTAAGTTTTGTATTTAAACTGCTATACAGTTAACAGATAACTAATACACCAGCTTGAACAGGGTTTCTATCTACCACTCGCCACCGAAAGGATCCTGACTAATAAAAAAAATGCCATCTCCTTTCACAAATGTGGAAATCAAGGCTCAGAAAGGTGCAATGACTTGCCCAAGGTCACAAAGCTAGTTAATGACAGAGCTAGGATTTGAATCCAGGGTCCACCTGGCTCCAAAGTCCCATAACTTGTCTCAAGTTATCGTCTCCAAGGCAGCTTTGAAGAGACAGAACAGAAACCAAGGAGGACAGAGGCTGGGGTTAGATAAGGCCTATTTCTAAGTCTGACCAGTGCTGAAATGCATAAAGTGGGCCTGAGAAGAAGGGCAAGTGGCTGTACTTAGAGAAGGATCAACCTTAAGCGGGGCTCTCACTTTCTCAGCATCCAGCTCCGGGTGGGGCCTCTTTATACCCCCAAGTCCCATCCTATAATGGCACAATAGCCTTTAACCACAGCCCAGCCCAGACAGCTTTACATTCCCAAGTGGTTTCACACTCACAGTCTCATTAGAGACTCACAAAGGAGCCTCTAAGAAGGAGGCCAGGGTTTATTCTTCTATTTAACAAATGAAGAAACTGGGGAGAGGCAGGCAAAGGCAGGAGCAGAGCCCAGCCCTAAGTCCTAAGTCCACGTCAACTCTGGAGGCAAAATGAAGGTCTCCAGTGCCCAGAGGACACAATGAATTCTCCCTTCTCTTGGCCTGGCCTAGCCGAGAACACCCTTCCTTCTCCCTGCTGGGGAGGACATAACGGTTAACAACTTGGACAGGCAGGGGTGGGACATACTCTTGGCCCAATACTTTGCAGCTGTGGAGGCAAGTCACCCTCTGAAGCTTAGTTTCTTCTTCTGTAGGCTGGGTCTCTCAGAGCTGGTACAGAGATCAGTGATATTCAAGAGCGCTTGGTGCAAGTACCTTAAGAAATGGTGGCTGCTGTCTCTGTCATTGTTAACCAAGGTACGTAATCCCTCTCCCACATCTCGCATGTGAGATGTGAAGCCTGTCCCCAACCCGTATCTTGGCAGTGATGAAGGAAGAAGACGGGATGGGGCCAGGTGCTGGGGTAGGA